AGACACCAAGGATTCACTGATGTAATGTCATATTAACACTTCTCTTTTAAGAGGAAAGTGATGTTAACCCCAAGTTTAGGGTCTGTCTATCTCTGTCTCTATCTCTGTCTCTGTCTAATCTGTCCCTGTTTATCTGTCTCTGTCTATCTGTCTCTGTCCATCTGTCTCTGTCTATCTGCCTCTGTCTATCTGTCTCTGTTATCTGTCTCTGTCTTTGTCTATCTGTGTCTGTCTGTCTCGGGCTTCGTCTATCTGTCTCTGTCTATCTCTTTCAATCTGTCTTTGTCTATCTCTGTCTCACAGGTACACATAAATAAGTATATGTAGTATAAATTACCTAGGATAACCCAAAAATCCAGACAAAGTGCTATACTCTGCTTGAAGATGTGAATAAAGGTGATGACACAGTCTTGTGGCTCTCTCTGAGACAGAGATAAACGGATAGACAGATAGACAGGGAGCTTGACACACAGGCAAATAGACAGACAGAAATGTTTGTGTACCAGCAAAAACAAAGCGAGGGCGATGGTCATCTAATCTTTTCTTATCAGCTGCACCCTCCACCACCCTCATGTATGCTCATCAAACGTCAGCTCTTATCAGATGTTATCTCCCCTTATCATGACACTGTCAGGGATGAACTTCGTTTTTCATGCTTCAAGTCAACTTATTATTAGGCATTATTATTATTAAGTATTATTATTATTATTATGTATTATTATTATTATTATTATGTATTATTACATATTATTATTACGTATTATTATTATTACGTATTATTATTACGTATTATTATTATTATTAAGTACACCTACCATCCGGCTTACGACCTGCTCGACATGCAAACACTCGACTTATGACCGTGTTTGTTATGCCAAATTTCTGGGAAATAAACAACTATTTGTGTTGTACACAGTGTTTATCCTAAACCTTACAGTATAAAATACAGTACTAACAGCAAAAAAGTAAAATAAAACATGAAATACCAAAATAAAACAATAAAATAAAGTCATTACAAAAATGTGATGTTAATATTCAGTAGTAAAGTTCGACTTACGTCCATTTTGACTTACGACCGGTTTCTCGGAACCGAACTCAGTCGTAAGTCGGATTTATTACGTATTATTATTATTATGTATTATTATTATTACGTATTATTATTATTATGTATTATTATTATTATTATTATTATTATTATTATTATTATTATTATTATTATTATTATTATTATTATTATTATTATTCTCCTAATCCTTCCTCCTTTTCCTCCTTTTCATCCTCCTCTTCCTCTTCCTCTTCCTCCTCTTCCTCCTCTTCTTTCTCTTCCTCTTCTTCCTCCTTCTCCTCCTCTTCTATTCCTCCTCTTCCTCCCCCTCCTCTTCCTCCTCCTCTCCTCCCCTCCTCCTCCTCTTCCTCCTCCTCCTCCTTTCCTCCTCCTCTTTCTCTTCTTCCTCCTCCTCCTCTTCCTCCTCTTCCTCTTCTTCCTCCTCTTCCTCTCCTCCTTCCTCTTCCTCCTCTTCCTCTTCCTTCCTCCTTCCTTCCTCTTCCTCCTCTTTCCTCTCCCTCTTCTCCTCTTCCTCTTTCTCTCCTTCTCTTCCTCTTCCTCCTCTTCTTCCTCTTCCTCTTCCTCCTTCCTCTTCCTCCTCCTCTTCTTCCTCCTCCTCTTCCTCCTCCCTTCTTCCTCCTCCTCCTCTTCTCCTTCTTCCTCCTTCCTCCTTCCTCTTCCTCCTTCCTCCTTCTCTCCTTTCCTCCTTCCTCTTCTTCCTCTCCTCTCTCCTCCTCCTCCTCTTCTTTCCTCTTCCTCCTCCTCCTCTTCCTCCTCTTCCTCTCCTCCTTCCCTCTCCTCTCCTCCCTCCTCTTCTCCTCCTCCTCTCTCCTCCTTCCTCCTCCTCTTTCCTCCTCCTCCTCTTTTTCCTCCTCCTTCCTCTCCTCCTCCTTTCCTCCTCTCCTCTTCTCTCCTCCTCCTCTTCTTCCTCCTCCTTCTCCTCCTCTCCTCCCTCTCTTCTTCCTCTTCTTCTCTTCTTCCTCCTCCTCTTCCTCCTTCTCCTCTTCTTCCTCCTCCTTCTCTTCCTCCTCCTCCTCCTTCTCTTCCTCCTCCTCCTCTTCCTCCTCCTCCTCTTCCTCCTCCTCCTCTTCCTCCTCTTCCTCCTCTTCCTCTTCCTCCTCTTCCTCCTCTTCCTCTCCTCCCTTCCTCCTCTTCCTCTTCTTCCTCTTCTTCCTCCTCTTCCTCTTCTTCCTTTCTTCCTCCTCTTCTTCCTCCTCTTCTTCCTCCTCTTCTTCCTCCTCTTCCTCCTCCTCTTCCTCCTCCTCTTTCTCCTCCCCCTCTTCCTCCTCCTCTTCCTCCCTCTTCCTCCTCTTCCTCCTCCTCTTCCTCCTCCTCTTCCTCCTTCTCTTCCTCCTTCTCTTCCTCCTTCTCTTCCTCCTCCTCTTCCTCCTCCTCTTCCTCCTCCTCTTCCTCCTCCTCCTCTTCCTCCTCCTCCTCTTCCTCCTCTTCCTCCTCCTCTTCCTCCTCCTCCTCTTCCTCCTCTTCCTCCTCCTCTTCCTCCTCCTCTTCCTCTTCTCCCTCCTTCCTCCTCCTCCTCCTCCTCCTCCTCCATTCTTCTGGTATCCTGGGCATTGCTTTTGGTCTCAAACTCCTCAAAACCATGAAATTGATCTTCATTGACACTTCCATCTGTGTTAGAGCATCACTTGGGAAGAGAAGAGTCTCAGATTTGCTGGGGAGTCACATATTTCTTACCTCTAGACATGCTGAAAAAGGACAACGGAAATGGTATTCCCACAATGCACCACTGGCTCCCTGATTTTTTTTATATGGTGCACACTGACCATGGAGACCCATTCTCTCACATGTGGCCTACCAGCTTTCTCCTGCTTGATTTGAAGCAGCTAGAATTTATGCGTATAGATACGTCAGAAACAGTGGTGCGTAAGACGTATTTATACGGCGTAATCAGTCAAAGGGTTAATAATCCAACAAAAAACTGCTGTGCAGGTGATAACCAGCTCCTGTGCTAGACAGCACACCCCATCACTTTTCAAAAGACTCAACTTGCTAAATATACAAGACATACACTCTTATTATTGTGCCTACTACATATTCAGAACTTTAAACTCCACTGTAAATCCTCCTCTAAAACTACTCCTCGACAGTTACAACAGAATGCAGTCACAAAACTCTCACTATGCAAGAACGCTATGCATATAAAAGGCCCAAAGATCTGGAACTCGCTACCGGAACAAGTCAAGGATCCCCAGACAACTTATAAATTTAGGACTCTGCTAAAAAATCATCTTATCTCACAATATTAACCAAATCAACCAAACATCTACTGGCTAGTTTTATCATGTGACCACCTGGCTTTTAATTCTGCCATTCCATAAAATATTACCACCTGCACCACTCCTTGTAAATTAGATTTTGTGCTAAGTATACATAAGATTTATTAAGTCTAAATAAGATTGTAAAACAGCTAACCACTTACATGTTTAGTTTTAAGTAACAATAATATGTACTATTATCTTATCTAGTTTTAATTAGTTACTATGTATTAGGATTAATTTGCCCAAAATGCCTTGGCATGATAGTGGCTATCTTTGTACTTAGCAAATCTTTATACTTACAACAACATTGTTATGGTGACTATCATCATCCAGTGAACAACATTGTTATAGTGACTGTATCATCATCCAGTGAACAACATTGTTATATTGACTGTATCATCATCCAGTGAACAACATTGTTATAGTGACTGTATCATCATCCAGTGAACAACATTGTTATATGACTATTTCATAACCCAGTGAACAACATTGTTATAGTGACTGTGCATCATCATCCATGAACAACATCGTTATAGTGACTGTATCATCACCCATGAATAACATTGTTATAGTGACTGTGCATCATCATCCATGAACAACATTGTTATAGCGACTATTTCATAACCCAGTGAGCAACATTGTTATAGTGACTGTGCGTCATCCAGTGAACAACATTGTTATAATGACTATTTCATAACCCAGTGAACAACATTGTTATAGCGACTATTTCATAACCCAGTGAGCAACATTGTTATAGTGACTGTGCATCATCATCCATGAACAACATCGTTATAGTGACTGTATCATCACCCATGAACAACATTGTTATAGTGACTGTGCATCATCACCCATGAACAACATTGTTATAGTGACTGTGCATCATCATCCATGAACAACATCGTTATAGTGACTGTATCATCACCCATGAATAACATTGTTATTGGGACTCACAGGCATCATTCCTCTCATTTTTGGATTTATATTCCTCAAAAAATATTTTGTCACAGCTTTTATTCACCAATGTGCAAAGAGTTTATGATTTTACATTTTTTTAATAATTTTTACAAAATGGTTAATATCAAATAATTTCTTGGCCAAAATTCATAATTGGTGATCACATGTGAAATATTTCACGTCAGACATTTAGCTTAACGAAATCTATCTTTAACTCCTGCCACTAGCTTAGAAAATATCCTGTAAAAAATCTGTTGTTTTGAGAAGAGTATCCTCACTAGACAAGGGATGCTACACAAACATCCTGTACATAGAAGAAAGAAACTTGTGATTATTTTTCTGTCCAACTTGGACTGTTAACTAATCACTCACCTCATGAGTTTCTCTCTCCTATGTGCGGGTTATTTGTGTATTGTTCCAGTCACGGTATTGTGCCTTTGTATTTTTTAAGGGACACTATCTTGCACCTCTTCATCTTTGGCAGACCCTGCCACCATTGAAGTGTCAGCCAGTGTGTCATCTGGTGTATCAGTGTCAGCCAGTGTATGAGTCTGTCACTCAGAATAAGTTTGGGTAAAGGCAACTTTAGTTGCATCAAGTTGTGCTTATTTTACAGGACACACTGATTAGAAATACTGCATTGAAAGATGCCATCTCTTTTTCCTCTTTGTATATGTATGTGGCTGTATAACTGAGATCTGAAAGTTAATTGCACCCTTCAGGCTTGATAGGAACCAGTGGCGCAATTGTCCGAGCACAAGATTGTGCCAGGGGAGAAGACTAGCACACATCTGTAGGTAAGTTACCTGTTAATGAATTATGTGGTTTAGAAATATGAAATATGCATTTCTGTGTAATGGTATGATGAGCCACCAAGAGCACAACCAGCATGCAGTCACATATCTTCTCATCTTTTAAAGATCACCACTGGGACTGTCTCACTCTTTTAGCCCAGTATACCTCCATCTGCTCTGTTTTCTATAGCTTCCTGTACTGTGAAATTTAAGAAAGCAGGAAGCACTAGCATGCTAGAAAACCACAAAGTACAGTTCAGTACATATATCAAAGGAAATGTTTTGCCATGAGGGTCTTCTTCAGTCCTAATACAGAGATAACTAAGAAACAAGTATGCAGTGGCAGGAGTCAGGTGGGTCCACCTGACTCCTGCCACTATATATACTTGTATCTTAGATATCTCTTCTCTGTATTAGGACTGAAGAAGTCACTCGTGGCAAAACGTTTCCTTTAATGTATGTACTGAACTGTACTTAAGTGTGTTTTCTCACATCTTGTTGGTATCACAATTCCATTTCTTACAGTCTTGCTGATCTCTCATATATGTAAAACCCTTGAACATGGGGAGTCAGCAGGGGTCATTTGGCACTCACACAAAAATGCATTTCTCATACTTCAAAACTACGTATTCTGTATTTGAGCACTGACAACCCAATAGAAACTTAACCAAGAGAACTCTAGGTATAAAGTGGAAGCTGGAAGCCCATGCCATGGCAAAGAGATAGGTATAAAGATGAGTCACAAGGATGATAGAAAATACTTTCTCAATCTTCAGGGTAGTAAAGAAATCAATGGGATATGGGACGTTGTTGAGATAGACTGCATATATATACAGTCTTAAGAGTAAGTATGAGAAAGCTCCAGAGACAGAAACCAGTAATACCACCATTTCAGTATGATTGAGGAAGAAGGCCAGGAGCCAAGATTCAACTCTCCACAAACACAGATGGTGAGTACTCATGGGAAGCAACTTTGCATAGTCTCATGCAAAAGTCCCCCCTTTCTTCCCTGTGCCCAAGCAGACTATGAAGACCACCAGTGACAGTGTATGAGAGATCAAACTGACCTAGACTTTGTTGACACTCTTCCAGAAGTACAAACAGTGTTATTTATGCTGGTAGGATATACTGTGCCCACCACTATGATTCTGTGACCTCAGTGACCTAATGCTGTGGTCACTTCTCTGTGATGGTGGTTTTGAGTGACCTCGTACAAGGTCACATCACCATTGTAGTGAGTTTGAGTGACCTCATATTGCATCACCTCAATCATTCATGATGGTTTTCCTCTCATACTCTATCAGTCATGATTTGTTGTCTTGTTACACTCCACAGGATGGGTTTCTTGTCATACTTCATCAGACTTGATGGGTTGTCCTGTCATACATGATGGGTTTTCTGTCATACTCTGTCACACAGGATAGTTTTCATTCAGGGTAATGGAATTTATTAGCCTCAGCTGGGGGAGCCTTCAGTAAGGCAATTTGGATATTAACAATAATTTCAGTAGCTAATGGAAATTAAAGGTTCTCTGTAACATTAATATAAGTATATAGAGGCACTACAGTAGGTCCACTGGCTTATGCTAGTCAGATCTTCACACCCAACTATCTTCACCAGTATATTTGTCTCACCTATTTTTTAAAGCTACTCAAGCTATTACCTTCTATAATGCTACCTGGCAGTTTGTTCCTCTTGTTGACAACTACTGTTAAATCAGCATTTTACTGTGTCCTTTCCAAATGTGACTTTTTGCAACTTGAATTTGTTGTATCAGCCTCTTTTGTGGCTAGGTATCTTCACCACCCTAATAATATTTGCTTTATTCCTGCCTTCTGGTTATACACGTCAGTGACCTCTTAACCAAAACTCTGCCCCATTCGTGTGTTCGTTCATACACCTGCACTGCAATGCTTTCCAGCATGAATTATACAGTGAGTCCAGTGGTGATACATGAATAATAACCTCCCTAATACATTAGCAGTTGTATAAGGAAGCATCCTATTATGAAACCTAACTCGAAACGCAAAATGTTTACCTTTTGCGAAAATGTTTAGTCTAATAACAGTGCTGTTATTGTATCATTATTGAATGACACATTTCACTCATGATGATAAGGCTAATTATAAATGTGTGTATGATAATTAATTAAGCTTTATGATTGAGGTGAGTGGGCCATTTGAGTCCATCAAATGTAAAATATGAGAAGATGCCAGTAGTTTACTTTACCCATCTGTCATGATATATTATGGTTCAGGTAAGTTTTTTTTCTGTTGTCTTCTTTTATCTATAAACCTTTGAAGGGGAGTGTCTTAATGATGTCTTCCTGATCCAAGGTTGTCTGCTGCTAGTGGCTAGTATCTTCAGAGCAGAGTTGTATGCTCTCCTTGCTGCTGTTGTCCATTGAAAGTAATTAAAACCTTTGTTCCTTTAATGCCCTTGTTGTTTATATGCAGTGTTGACTGCCACATCTTTAGTACACAGAAAATAATAGTCACTTATTGGATCCCAGGATGTCTTTTGGTTTGAGGAAATGATTTTTATGAATGCCTCAGTAGGTACTGCAGTTCTGGACCTTCTAGTCTTCAAGAGGCACCTTCCATTTTCTGATTACTTTCCAGTACTAACTCAGCTCCTGTGAGAGCAGTAGCAGCAATGTTGGTTCTCATTAGTGACCAACCAACGTTTTTGAATCAAACCCCATAGGAGTTTTGACTACTTTTCCTCTGCTGCTGCTGGAAGTGGTACTGCCATCTGTGTGTACTGAACACATTGGACTTGCACAGTCATCTCATGGATGGGCACCCGGCACCACTCAGCGAAGATTGTCAGATGGTCTTGACAACCAAACATCTGATTATCTCCTTCATTATAGAGCATGCTAACTCCATTCCAGGTGTTTTCTTTTTCATCCAGTCTTCTTTCTAATAGTCCTAACTTTACTCCTGACTCTATTGTTTATTTTTTATTAATATTAATTTATTACATCAACTGTGACCAACTTGTCCCTTCTCCCTCTTTCAGATGTTTTTCCCTCAACACCTTCACCTTTCCCCCCCCCCCCAACTATCACTGTTTACCTCTGTTGTTCAGTGTTTAATGCCACCTCTTGTAGATGTTTTTCCCTCAACACCTGCACCTCTCCATCCTCCCCCACCATCACTGTTTACCTCTGTTGTTGGGTGTTTAATACCACCTCTGGCAAATGTTTTTCCCTCAACACCTGCACCTCTCCATCCTCCCCCCATCATCACTGCTTGCCTCTATGGTTCAGTGTTACCTCTTGCAGGTGTTTTTCCCTCAATGCCTGAACTTCTCCTCTCCCTCTGTTATGCAGTGTTCATTGTTACCTCTTGCAAGTGTTTTTCCCTCAACACCTGCACCACTCCTCTCCCTCTGTTGTGTAGTGTTCAGTGTCACCTTTTTAGTCTCTGCATTCTCCAAGAATGTATTACAGCCTCTCCTCACTTAGTGATGTACTCATTTACCAACACCTCGGACTTATGACAGGTTTGCTGACCAGTATTCATGACCTAAATATTGTATATTAGAGCCAATTTCCTCTATTTGTTCATTTCAGTGTACAGTACACTACTGTATAGATATTTAAAAATATACCAGAAATGTTACAAATGGTGCAAAGGTGACATTTAAACAATATCAAAGATGGTTGACACAAACCCACTACCATTATAGTATGCTCCTCACTTAGCGACGAATTTGTTTACCAACGTGGTCTTAGGAACGGAACTCCGTCATTAAGTAAGGAGAGGCTGTAACCAGAATGCATACTAATATTAAAAAATGCTGACTTGAATACAATATTCTAACATGCATCAGTACTATTAACTCAGAATGTCAATGGTCCATTGCCTTATTTGTATGAAGGCTGTACAGGTGCAGTTTATCAGAGTAATTCAGAGTCAAAGTCTTGACTTTACTTCTTCCAAGTCAAGGAATAATATACAGTATTGTAATATCATGATGCTTTTTTCTTGTAATAATATTGAAGAAATATTGTCATGTACTTTTTAATTTGCATATAAGAAGAGTCTAATTCTTTATATACTCCCAAGATCTCAGCTGCTAAAAATATGTTGAAGTTCTCTCTTTTTAAACAATGCATTTAATGTTATCATTGAGAAGACTTGCAGTTAGTAAGACTTGTAATTTTGAGAGTATATTTTTCTACTGGAATTATTTCTTACGTATTTGTTCCACGATGAGTGATTTTCTATGGAAAATTTTAATTAACTTTATGAATCAAGTTTATTAGCCCTTAAATGGTCCAAACGTATACAGTGGACCCCCGATCAGCTCCCAATGCTACCAATTATGTAAGTGTATTTATGTAAGTGCATTTGTATGTGTATGTTTGGGGGTCTGAAATGGACTAATCTAATTCACAATATTCCTTATGGGAACAAATTCGGTCAGTACTGGCACCTGAACTTACTTCTGGAATGAAATAATATCATAAACCAGGGGTCTACTGTATATACGTTCTCGCGTAGTGCCCCAAACGTATATATACGTTTTATTTTTCATTCATTCAAAATTGGCATGATAGGCCTGAGTCGCCTAGACATGAGAGAATGGGTGTGCGCATTCAGTGTGCATGGTATACAAAAAATCTGGGACGTCTGGGTACCACATGGTAGGACCAGTTACATTCATCTCCATCTTGGGTCAACATCATGGCACATCCTCGTGATTCACTCACGCCTCATCGTATTAACACTCTACTATTCGAGGAAAGTGATATAGATAGTGAGTTTAGTGGATTTGACACCAATGTAATATTCAAGGAATTAGTGAAAATGTCAACGATAACCCAGATGACCCTCAGCCCATCACCTCTGGGGTAGCCACACCTGACCCTGGGCCAATCACCTCTGGGGTAGCCAGTGTGGCCACAGCAGACCCTTGGCCAAGCACTTCTGGGGTGGCCAGTGTGGCCACACAAGACCCTGGGCCAAGCACCTCTGGAGTGGCGAGTGTTACCCATAGGCAAATTCGCAAGAGGAAACTATCATTTTCCCGGTGTTTTAGTGATAGTGAAAGTGATGTAAGTGATGATGAGATTGATTTTATGCTATTCGAGGATTCGTCTAGTGATAGTGAAGTTCATTATTCACCAGTGAAGCATACTTTTAGGCGTCGTTATCTACGTTCAGGCAGTGTGCCATATGCACTCCCCAAGGGTCGTGGCAGGGCACGTTCCAAAACCCCGGCCACTGATAGTGAAAGTGATCATGAAGGCGAGTATGCAGGGATGAAGGAAGTAGTGGTGGGTGGCATGGTGCCTAGACCACATGGTGCAGTGGGTGGACAGACAAAGGACCGCTCGGCATCCCCTCAACCATGTGCTGCCTCCACTCCTGTCCCTCCTCCTGCTCCCCCTCACCCCATGTCACAGGTCCACCCTGCACCATGTGATCATGAGTGGAACTGGACACAAAGTATATTCGTGCCACAGAATGTCCAATAACGAATGAGTCTACAGAGATAGACTATTTCCAGTTGTACTTTGACGAGCCTATAATGAACTTGATAGTGACCCAGACAAACACTTATTACCGATATGTCATGGACAACATAACAGAGGCTGGAGAATCATCATGGCTGCACAGGTGGAAGGACACAACAGTGGCTGAAATGTATTTATTCTTTGCCACTGTCATCCTTATGCCACATATCTGTAAGAACAATATATGTAATTACTGGTCCACAGACACTTCAATACCAGTTTCGTGACCTCCTTCCCTGCAACGATTCACTCTGTGCTAAAGTGCACTTCTAGACAGAATACGCCAATCAGAATGACCTCCTATACAAAATCCGAAGTGTTAATGTATTTTGAAGCAGAAATTCAGCATACTTTTATACCTTCAAGAACATTGTGTGATGAGTCCTTTGATTCTGTTCAAGGGACGCTTGTCATTCAAGCAATATATACCGAGCAAACTTTTTGTTATGTGTGACTGTGAGAGTGGTCTTGTGTTGGATGTTATTGTATACACCGGGAGAAACACATTGTTAGGTATTTTATACCATTTTAATGGGAGAAACACACTCGATGATGACAAATGGATGTTGGGCATTTCCGGTGATGTTGTTCGCAAGATGATGGAACCATACCTTGGCAAGGGCCATACATTGTACACAGACAACTGGTATACAAGCCCAATGCTCGCTGATTTCCTACATGTGGAACAGTGAGAAGGAATAGGAAACATATGCCAATGTTCAGTGGAGGCAGTGTTGAAGGTGCAGTGCAAGTGTTTCATGCTAATGACATCATGGCACTGGCGTGGCATGACAAACGGGACATGACATTGCTGTCAACCATCCACAGAAACGAGATGGTACAGACAGACAGACTGAGCAAGTTCAACAAAGAACCTATTGTAAAGCCAGCTGCTGTCGTGGACTATACGAACAATATGCGACTAGTTGACAAGTGTGACATGATGATAGAGTTTGTTGACTGTGTTCGTAGGAGTCGCAAGTGGTATATAAAACTGTTTTTTCACCTTGTAGACATTGCAGTGCTCAATGCATTCAATATGTACGAAATAAAGACTGGAAAACGACAATGTTTTGCAGAATTCTCTCTGAATGTTGTCAAACAGATAGCAAGAAAGTATGGTACCACACCTGTACCTGCCCCTTTACAGTGACCTGTCACACCACAATCTGACCCTCAACCACAGCCAGTGGGAGAAGTGCCAGACCGAATCACTTCTAACTGTCACTATCTGGTAGCAATACCACCTACCCAAAAGAAGAAGAATGCCCAGAAAAAGTGTGTTGTGTGTGCTACCACCAAAAAAAAATGACCCCAACAGCGGAAGGACACATGATTCATTTGTCACCAGTGTGGGGTGGCACTCTGTATGAATCCATGCTTCATGGAGTATCATACAATCGTGGAGTTCTAGAAACATAAGTAGGACATGTAAATACTTGTATATAGTTATAGATAATAGAATGTGATTCAGCCAGGTGTGCAGAATCACCTGTCAGTGTGTACATGTGTATTTATGACAATTTCTTATATTGGTGTATAAACAACAATTGGCATTGAAATCAAAAGATTTGCCATAAAACATAATTATCATATCATGAAAACCAAGAAAATTAAAAAAAAAAAGGGAAGAAAACGGCAAATATGTAGAATTTCTGCAAGCGGCAGCGCTCCACGTTGCCGTCAGGTGATCACCAAGTGCCAACTTCGCGGCCTCATATCTCGGTAAGTACTGACCCTAAATTTTTTTTTTATTCTAAAACACTTAAAAAAATGTGCTTTTTTTTCTACATATTTTTTTTTTTTTTTTCAAAATATTTGGGGCGCTGCGCGAGTGAATGTATATATACGTTTGGACGATGAAAATAAATGGTATAAAATACCGACACACTGGAAACATAAACACATATGCAGTTTAATGTGATCCTTTATTGACAACGTTTCGCCCACACAGTGGGCTTTTTCAAGTCATACACAGATCTACCTGGGGTGGAAGGTATGGGAGTATTTATAGTCAGGTTCACCTGACCTCAACATTCTGAACCTGACTATAAATACTCCCGTACCTTCCACCCCAGGTAGATCTGTGTATGACTTGAAAAAGCCCACTGTGTGGGCGAAACGTTGTCAATAAAGGATCACATTAAACTGCATATGTGTTTGTTTCCATATGTTTGGACTGTTTAAGGGTTAAGCAATATACATGTATATGATTAGTAAATAACATGGACATTCACAGAGTTTATTTTACATTGTGTACACAATATGTCTGCTGATAATTAAAATGTAATTTTTAATTACATTGCAAATGATTATTCAAACCTTTGTAAGTACTTTGAGTTTGTTGCTTATTACAGTACTGTACTATTTTCTTTGGCTGTGCATATACTGTGATGGATTGTTTCAACTGTTGCTCTGCGTAGTTTATCACCCTCCCGTTTGGGTTTAGCGCTTTCGTGTGAACATAACAATTTACATAATTTATTTTGTCCCTTCAGCGTATAAAATTAAGATGATTTTTAATCCACCTCAGAAGTTCTCTGGAGGTGTCTCGTGCACTCAGCCACTCTGCACCATCAGCTATAAACTTAGAAGTTGCTCAAGTCAAGTTTGATGAGGAAGTTTCCATCTGTTCGGAATTCTCACAGTCTCAGACCTCATACCTGGTGGCTGAGGAGGACCACAGGTGAGAAGTACACTCATGCTTCCCTCGTATCATTTGTCTTTTAAATTTCC